GGGCCTGGAGGGGTCAGTGTGTCTGCAGCAGGGCTGTCCAGTCCTGGTCCTGGAGGGGTCAGTGTGTCTGCAGCCGGGCTGTCCAGTCCTGGTCCTGGAGGGGTCAGTCAGTGTGTCTGCAGCAGGGCTTTCCAGTCCTGGTCCTGGAGGGGTCAGCCAGTGTGTCTGCAGCAGGGCTGTCCAGTCCTGGGCCTGGAGGGGTCAGTGTGGCTGCAGGTTCTCTCTTTAAAGCAGCAGCACCTGAAGAGCCAGGGGAAGCTATTGTACTGGACAAGTCAAGTCCGTAAGGAGCAGCCTGAGCTTGTTAAGAGCTGGTTGCTCACCCCCGGACTAGACGGACCATCAGCAAATGAGGTGCCAGACACTGCTTTAGTGAGGCTGTGTTTCTAGGCCTGCACACTGACTGGTCACTGTTGATAGTGATGCTGCCCAGGGTCAATTTTTGAATACCTGGATTATGCATGAGTTTTGACCAATACAAATACTAATTTTGACAAATACTAATTGAGTGGACCGGGAAGGGGATCCTTAAACCAGAGGAAATTGGGGCGTTTTCCTCTCCGAGGGTCAGAGATGGTTAATTCCGGGACCTGTCCCGTACACCCGCTGGACCAGGGCTCTCCAGAGCTGGGAGCGGAGGCCCTGTGCCCCTGGCAACAGCAGCATCACAAGAGTTGCCTGGCAACCAGGGTGTGTCGCCTTGCATGCGATACCAGGCCCACGTTTTTGAGACATACGTAATCCATCTGGAATCCATAATCCATAATCCCACTCTGGGATGCCTGCGTGGGATTATAATTGAGTGTGTGGACACACGCAGGCAGTTGAGACCGTGATAGCAGTGTGCAGATACACTGCATAAAGGATTGAATAAACTCTTTTAAATTAGAAGTTTGTATTATCAGGTTCCAGATGCCCCCCCTACAATAAATTGCAATGAAAAGTTCACAGAAACTATAAACATTAAGATACGTTACAATCAAGATCTACTTTCTACAGATTTAAAAAAATGCATAAATAAACCACATTTGAGTATTTAAATTATTTTGATCATAAACAGTGACCTCATTTTTAGAGATTTATACAGATATCTCTGAAGCAAAGACTATTTGAATATATAAATGTGTGTTAGGATACGAAGTGATCGTGTTTACTTTGCTTTCTTGTGCGAGGTGCAAGTTTCAATTTGTGGTATAAAGCAGTTCTGAAAGAGTTCAGATGCATTTGTTTTTTTTTTCTCAGATCCTTAAATGTGTAATATGCAATACAGCCACTAGGTGGAGACAGCACAGCTGTACTCACCTTCTCGCTAGGGGGAAATTACCCATGCTGGCCCTAGTTTTCCAAGTCCTGCTCTTCCAGGAGGAAACCGGAAAATGAGATCACTTTATTGGCCATATGCAATTTCTTGCATTAGGAATGTGTCTTTTTGCAGACCCCAGCTTGCTCTCCAAGAGACACACAGACAGGGAGAGAAGCTGGGGGTCAGAGTGCAGGATCAGCCATTTATACAGCACCCCTGGAGCAGCTGGGGGTAAGGGCCTTGCTCAGGGGCCCAACCCCATAGGAGCCAGGAAATCCATTGTAAGTTTAAACTACAATAGCAGAACAGAGTCACAGCCACCACTCCTTAAAGCCTGTGTACCAGAAAGGCAATTTTGACTTTTCATAAAAGTCAGATGAACTGCTTTACAATAGATCCCACCTTCTGATTGGGCCAGCCTTCTCAGATTGGCAGATGTCTGAAAGCTAGCTCTGAAATTCAGGCTTGGGTTCTTTTATTCATAAAAAGCACACAGCTATAATTCATTGAAAGCAGTTCCAGGATGAGCTACTTAAACCCCTACTGTTTCATGGCACTATATAAGCAAGTGCTGTCAAGTGCTTAAGGCCAGTGGAAATTACAGGACTCCAGAGCAGCCCTGTGCAGGAGCCAGCAGGGCCTGGGAGAGCATTGCTCCTCTGCCCAGTAGCCCACAGGCGCAGAGCCCCTCATCAAGCTGTACTCCCTTCTAAACCTCCCTGCTGCAGCTGCCCAGCCTGCTTCACCATGCAATTGACAGTAGAGTCAGGCCTGGTACCTCTGCAGTAAGGGGCAGTTTAAAAGCAGAGGTGCACATCAACTAATCCTTGAAGTCCATCCAGCTGCTCTGTCACAAACCACCCTTGCAAGAGGCTAAAATGACCACACAAGCAAGAGGAGAGTCTATTTAACTTTTATTTAACAGCATTGAAACTTGAGGCCCCCCAGACATGATCCCAGAGAGTGATGTCATGCAGCAGCCTGCAGGGGAGGAAAAAAAATAAAATAAAAGCATTAGTGTTTCTTGGTCTGAAGGAAATGACATTTCCTTCCATTCAGGATTCCCTGCAAATGGAACAAGAGCTTCATTCCACACTTGAAGGCTCCACAGCCAAGATGTAACAGTGAAGCGCCTTGGAGCCACTGGCCTCCTTCACGCGCACAGCCTGAAGCTCAAGCCCTGGCTCACTCACCCCTCACTGTGCTGGAAGCTCCGAGCTCTTCGAGTTCACTGGGCAGGGCTTCCTGCCACAGCGCTTGTCCAGGTTGGGATCGGGAATCACTGGGATTTCTGGAGTGGACAGAGCACGCTTGGGTTATTGGGGGGAGGGTGGAAGAGGGAGGAAAGGGTTAAATCCAGACACTGGCAGAACCAGCACCTCCCCTGGCTGGGGAGGAAGCCGGACCACTTACTGCGCCCATCAAAGCACCCCTCCACACACTTCCTCACTTTCGGGGAGCAGACCTCCGTGGAGCACATGAAGTAGATCTGGAACAAGATGGTAGACAGTCCTGGGATTCAGCTCCAAGATCCTTCATCCCCCAGCTTCCCAGGTGAGGTTAATCACCACCCACATGAGGTGACAACAGCCAGAGTGCTCCAGTAACCCCCCCCACACCAGCTCCCAGTGGGGAGGAGAGCGGAGTGATGAAGCCAGGACACCAGTGTAACACCAACTGAGAAACACCCTGGGAATTAACAGCCTGACTCTCCAAGTTTCTCTCCCTCTCTAATCTGGAAGAGGCTATACTATAAAAAGCTGCTGTCCATCACTATACTGGGGCATTAGGACCCACACAGACTGCAGGGTGAGCGCCCCCTACTGGTCCCACTAACCTCTTCCTGGAGGTCTCTCAGCAGGCGTGTGATGAGCTTCTGCTAGCATCACCCTGCAACCTTGGTGGGCTGCAGGCAAGACCTCAACCCAGAGCTCATGTCGTAAGGAAGGTCTTGCATGGCACCAAGACCACCACGCCGCAATCGATATACCAGTTCAAGCCATGGTGGGTGGGAGGGACCCTTCAATTGCAAGCCCCCCCCCCCCGATAAGCCAGGAAAGTCCCAGCTGCAGACGGCCAGAGCCCTCCCCTCACCTCCTCGTCGAGGTAGCGGTGCGCCGTGCGTTCCATGAACTGGAAGGTGCGGATCTCGAAGCGCCGGTGGTGCTTGGGCAGGGGCACCTTGTCGTTGATGTGCAGGGTGGACGTCTGGCCGTAGTCCAGGGGGTTGGGGCACCTGGGCAAGAGATCGGATCCAAAAAAGGGGAGGAGGGTGACCAGGTGCCTGGAGCAGAATCCTGGCTGAACAAGATCTTGTCAAGGGGCTTGACTCAGGACTTCCCTACAAGGCTGGGTCTCCCAATCCCATAACCCACACCTACTGCCAGAGGCGCCCTCTCGTTAGCGGACGGGACCTGGCCTGTCGGGCGAGCTAGCCACAGAGGGGGGGGGACACGAGGGCGACTTGCCCGAGCAGGTGACCAAGAACAGCCTCACCCCTCGTAGAGCAGCACCCAGGCGGCCTGCGCCGAGCGGGGGTAGGCGATGCAGTAGTGCACCAGCAGGACCAGGCTGGGGTCCGGGGCGTTCAGCAGGCGCACCTCCAGGTAGACGGGGCTCCCCAGCAGGAGCCGCAGGGGCCGGTGGTACTGGGGGTAGAACCGGGAGTAGTGCTCATCTGGGCAGGAGCAGAGAGGGGGGGGGGAGAGAAACCGGTTCAGAGCCGGAGACAACACTGGGCTCTTCAAGTCATTTACAGGCATTGACGCAGCAGGTGGATCTTACCCCAAGACTCGTTGAGCCATTAATGTGGTCCTCCCCCCCCCCCACAACTTACATTCACCAGATGGAGCCTTCAGGGTTAAGGCTTTTTAAAGCGCCTTAAACGAAATGGCTGGTGTTGAACAAGAACAGCCGCCTTGGGCCTGGAGCAACCGATGGCATTTCAAGAGGTGGGTGTGGTCCGAGGACCCCCCCCCAGCCCAAAGGGACTTGTGGTAAGGAATGCGGCCCACATGTGCCAACCCTCTTACCGGTGGCAATCCTGAGCTGCACCCCGAACACCCCCTGGGACAGGATCGCACTGGGCAGGTAGGGGCTCTTCACCAGGTAGCCAGTGCTGGCCAGGTTCCCCTCCGCATAGCGGCACTCCACCAGCAGCCTGCAGACATGTTCGGATGTGCATAGATTCTCCAGAGGCACGAGACCAACAGGGGACTGTACAGTCCACCAACTAAACTAGTTACCTTGCATCTAGGCTAAGCATCCTTGGGATCAATTCCCCCCCCCTTCTCCCAGATCCCATCAATCCCTAAATAGGTGTTCACCCTGCCCTCTTTAGATCAGGGATGGGGAAACCTATTCCTTAGAGCCAGATTGCTGGAGGTTTTACAAGCATGCTTTAAAAAAAACAAACAAAAAATCGGCAACTTATTTCAGATGTCAAGTCAGCAGTCACAGATCACAGACTTGCATCACAGATGGATTGGCTGGAACAAAACTGTCCCAAACTGGAGTTGGGCAAAATAGTGCCACCTGCTGGGCCAGTGGGGAGAGGACACTGCAACAGGTATTCTCCAGCCAGAGGTGTGGAAGTAGTTCTGGCCCTTGAGGACACCTAGTGCTTTCCACCCGAGCTCTTAAGGCCTGGATGCCCTGCTGGACAAGAGACGGCCTTCCCCATCCACCAGGTATCCTGAGTGGCCAGTAGCCCCGTCTCGCACCTGAAGGGGCTGTCCCTGGTGATGACCCCGTAGTTCAGGCTGTTGCGCCTGGCCATGGCCATCACCTCCGCCAGGTAGATTGTGGTCTCCCCCACCACCTAGACAAAAACAGAGCCCGACTGAGAACCGGCAGCTCATCAATTCAGCTCCAGCGTAGGTGTGGGAAGACCAGAAGGGTCCTCTTCCCAGAGAGGAGGGCAAGATCTGCCAAATCACCCCCTCCTCCTACACAACCCATTGAGCCAGTCTGGCCTTTCACTGAGTAATGCATGTGAAGCCCAGAATCACTCTGGATTTGAGATCAGAGGGGCTAGAGCCAGGCCACATGCATAATAAAATTCTACAACCCAGGATTTCATGCTTGTTAGAAAAGTCCATCGCTTCTCTGGTCTTCCAGATAGACTGGCTTTTCTCACGGGCTCCCGGGAGCCCAGTGTTCACAGAAGGCCTTCCTGAAGATCGAGGCAGGAGCCCTGCAAGTTACCGAGAGCTGCAGCTCCCAAGGGCGAACGCCGCCCCTGTACTCACAAAGGCATGAGTGCCGCAGCCAGTGACCGGGAACTTGAAGACGGCGAAGTCCGGGGTGCAGATCACAGGGGCGCAGGATTTGTTGCCAGAGATCACCAGGCTGGCAGGGTCCACATGGGGCACAGTGACGGTGCGATGCACAGCGAAGACAAAGTGCCGGTCCGAGGTGCACTCTGGGAAGGGCGTGGAGGAATGGGCATGGTTATGAACAAGGAGGCCATTTGGGAGCTGGGATCTGACTGCCTAGAGAGATTCGTGTGAAGTGTCCGTAGGACCACTGGCGGCCCAGCAATTGTGCAACCGAGTCTATAGAAACACCGATCCAGCCAACCAACTCCCACCCTTGCAGTGTAGCGAGCCCCCACCCAAGGTCTTACCTTCTAGGGGGTAGTAGCAGTGAGCGGTTTCGGGGTCCACACAGCAGCCCTTGGCCAGACACTGGCTGGAGCCCATCCTCCTGGGACCACAGGACACCTGCTGACTCCTGGGAATGTGGCATCCTGGTGGGGGTACAAAGAGGTTAGCACGGAAGGGGCAGCAGGAGATGACCTGCTGAGCTGTAGGACTCCCCCCTCCCCCCCAGACATTGCAGATCCAAGGACCTGGAAATTTTGGTCCTTGGATCTGCATCTACAGCACACACACACACACTGAGGGGTTACTGAACCAGGTCCGGCAAGGACTCCACAACATCAGCTGCCCCTTCAGATCCTGCAAGGCAGGGGCATGGACTCGCCTTGTTTGGGCTTCAGCCGGCGGTAAGGGCAGGACACCTGGATCTCCGCCCTCTGGCCGCCACTCGTATAAGCCACCTGTATGGTGTACCTCCTCCCCTGCAAGAGAGAGGGTGAGGGTTTTACATACCCACCCCTCCTGCACTGCTCTTGCAATTGCAGCTGTTGAACCCTTCCCCCAATAAGGGGAGGGTGTACTGTACAGTTCAGAGACTCTTACCACAATCTTGACATCGCAAGCAGTGTAGGGGATAGTCAGGATGTTCTTCCCCTCGCCTTTCACCAGCGAGTACCCACAGGTCCTGGGGGTCTGCAGCACGGGGACCAGGGTCTTGGAAGAGTCTGGAGAGAAAGAGAGAAGCAACTCAAGGACTCCAAGATGGGAAAATGACAAATCATTTCCAGCATCAAAGATCAGCAGTGGGTGAGCAGACCAGCCTCTTGATGAGAGAGGACTCATCACGCAGCAGGCATTGGGGCCAACAGGTCATCTACATGGAGATCGCACAGAGGTGTCCTGCAGCAAGCACCATTCCTCAGCAGAGGAGCCGATAAAGATGCAGCTGGACACCTCCAGTGGGCAGGAAGAGCCAGGAAACACCTGGGGTCCGGCTCCCCATCTCGAAATGGCGGTTTCTAAGTGTCTGGGATCAAGTTCTTCACCCGGGTTATAAAGGTAGTCTAAAGTGGTTTCAGTGAAAGGTTTTTCCTATAGCCTTAAGCTGTTTAAAGGCAATTCCTGCTAGATTTCCACCCGAGTTGAAGATGTGGGCACCCCAGGATTGTCTGCTCCACCAGCTGGAAGTCAAGCTCACCAGGATGCAAGACCTTCAGTGGGAAGTCTGTCAGCAGTACACTCAATACAGCCAGACAGACCCACATAGGTTGCTAGGAGGTTTCACACCACGCAATCCATTTCACACAGCCCAAGATAAACAGCGGAGATCCATGAACCCCCTCTCCGACAAGCACAGGCCCCACTCTCACCCAGGATGTGGACCTCAGCCAGGGGCCCTGGAGGGAGCTGTACGGTCATGCACACGTCACTGCAGGAGATGGACAGGCCACCGGAGGGCTGGGTGTCGAGGGGGGCGTCCACAGGGCAGGACACCGTGGCAACCACCTGCCTCCCCAGGAGCTTGTCGTAGTACTGGATGGTCAGAGCCATGAAGCGCTGGTTCTGCTTGGTCTGTGGCAGAGGATACAGGGCTTCAGTCATTAGGCCTACAAAGCAGATGCATCAGCCTGTAGAGCATTCAAGTGGCTCCTCTAGCTCAATCCCCAATCCTGAGTCAACCGTTACAGGAACACTTGACAACTAATACACTAAACATGAATGGAGGGAACACAAAGCTATCCTATGTTGCGAAGAGTACAGCATGTAGTTAAAGGCCACCTCTGAAAGCAGTTGCAGGTTAAGATACAGTAACTTCTAAGAGACACCTACAACTCCTGCTGGCCCAGGGCTGAAGATGTACCTAGGCTTAGTGTGGGGAAAGAGACCTATCCCAGTGCAAGATGCAAAAGAACAGATCTGCCCCAGTCTCAACAGTTGCACCACCTCATGAGACCAAAAATCCACAAAGGAACACCACTGCCACCCTCTTACCCAATCCCAAACATAGCAGCCATCATAGGAGGCCACCAGCAAAAGCCTGGACTGACTCTGGATGACCCTGTGCTTGCAGAACTTGGGCAGCCGGGCAACTGGGAGCAGGGCCATTTTTGCTGCAAGAAGAAGACGACGTGTTAGAACTGGGGAGGTCAAGCTGGTAAACGCCAGTCAGGCCTCTGCTGCCCTCTTCAGGCCATGTTGAGTAGCTACAGCCTCACCACATTCTTAGCAGCAGGTGCCATCAGGCCCCAGACTTCAGTAGCACCACCCAGCTCCAGCTGTTGAACTGCCCAGAGGGCCAACTCCTAATACTGGGAAGCATCGTTGATATTAAAAGGAAGCCTTAAATGGGATTAAGGCCAACCTTCTGGAATGGAACCATTTTCCAATCCCAACATTGAGGCTGGAAGCAATGATCCGGCAGCTGCCCCTTCCTGGAGATCCTGCCCACCCATCCCCATCGCCCACCTCTCTGCAGGAAGATCCGGCTGTACAGCGCCAGGGAGAACTTGATCATCATGCTCTTCTTGCCGCAGGCGATCTCCGGCCGCCGGGCGGGCCGCGCCCTGGCCGCGGGCTGGGGCGGGTCGGACTCCTCGCTCGGGTCTTTCTGGTAGGAGTCCCGCACGAAGGCGTCGGTGGCAGCAGCCCCCTCCGCAGAGGAATTGCCTGAGAGGGCAGATGGGAGAACATGAGGCACATGGGGGGATGTCCAGGTTCCACAAGCTCCACCCCCAGGAAGTGGAAAGCACTAGTGCATTATGGGCCAGTGGAGGCAGGAACTAGAGTGCAGTTTTGATTCCAAGATGGCCTTTATGACACACAACCCTGGTCACCACAGAGGAGCTGCAGCTCTGGAATCAGCCCAGAGGAGGAGCTGCCACTATTTTTCACAGCACCTCTGCAGCACTTTGAGCTAAGCAGACCAAGGCAGCCCCACCCAGCCAGCTTGTGCCAACCTTTTCACTACTGGTCTCAGACAGGAGCTGGATCACATGCCAGCCTTCACCTCCAAGCCCCATCAGCCAAAATCAGGCGGAGCAGTGGCTCAGGATCTGCGCCTGTGACTGGAAGGTTGCCGGTTCAAATCCTGCGGCCTGCAGAGGAATTCTACTCCGTTGGGCCCCTGAGCGAGGCCCTTAACCTCAACTGCTCCAGGGGCGCCATACAATGGCAAACCCTACGCTCTGACCCCAAGCTTCTCTCCCTGTCTGTCTCCATGGAGAAAAGCTGGGGTATGTGAAAAGATGAATTCCTAATGCAAGAAATTGTATAGGGCTAATAAAGAAACACTGCCTCATCCAGGGTGAGCTCAAGCAGTTTTTAGAAGACTGCAACTGCAGTGGGGGAGATGGCTTTGGAGAGCCCAAATCAAACTGAAGTTTAGCATTCAAAGGCTAGCCACAAGCAGGACTTTACTAATCCATCGAGAAGAATTACAGGGACTGGGGAGGGGAGTCATCCCCACTGACTGCCTCAGGAGCTGGGGAGGTAGAGGACCAATCAAACATGCTCCAATTGGAGGGTAAGTGCACCATCAGGACCACGAGCAGGAGGCACTGCTCTATACCAAAGATAGCCAGAGACTGGAACAAGCTGCCTAGTCACCCAACACCTCCTTAAGATACAAGAACAAAGTGCTTAGAACTCAGTCACCAACAGACTCAGATCAGTCCTGCCTCAGCATGGCTGTAGAAGTGCAGGTTACAAGGAGGCCACAGATCTGTTCCACACTGGGAACTGAAGGACTGTAGCACTGGGCTCATTTCAGAGGGACAGGACAGAGCAGATAGTCACTCACCACTTTGAGAGGCCACAGGTGACTCAGGGGCTGGGCTGGTGGTGGTGGCCACATCAGCCTCCCAGCCCGCCTCAGGAAGGTCTTCATGCTGGTCAGGGACAGGTGGTGTCCATCGCAGGCTTAGGTCCTCTTCCTCATAGCCACCCTCCTCTTTATCAAGGCCCTGGTCTTCCTCACTAAACACCAGGTCCCCCTGCCCCTCACTTCTCCAGTCTGCCCCAAGTGCCTCATCCCAAGCCTCCACTGCCTGGTCCTCCAGTGGAGAAGCATCATCATCCACAGTCAGGACAGCCGGCTCAGAACCACCAGTTTCCGGGTCAGCATAACCAAAATAAGGGCCCTCATCATCTCCAGCCCCCACACCAGGGCTGGGGTCACTGGGAGGGTCAAACAAGCTAGGATCATCCTCCTCTCGAAAGGAGTAACCATAAAGCAGCTGAGCTCGGGCCGAGCCACACAACACCCATGTCAGCACCAAGTAAAGAGCCACCATCTGCCACCTCCACATCATCATCACTCACACCAAACACAACCTGAAAGGAAGCCTCCAAGGCAGCCGGCAGGGAGGGCTTATATACTGACGGCGGAGCGCTTTCCAGCGCGCCAGCCAATCAGCCGCCTCGCTTCCGCCCCGCGCCGGCATTCCGCACGGAGGGGAGTGGGCGGGGCCAGGCAGAGGAGGGGCCGCGAGCCCTCCGAGGGCGGGAAGAGGCGGGCGGTTAGTCAACCGTCGGCTCTCGAGCGAGGCGGCGGCGGGGTGTTAAACCGGTTCGAAGGGAATTTCTACCCGACTCGGAAACAGGACCCGAGGAGACGGCGTTTCGGCCGGGTGGAAGTGCAAATGGAAACTGCGGCACACACACACACACAGTCCTAAGGCGAACCGAGGACGAGGTAGGAATGATGTTATTTATTTTAGACGAGAACATCTCCTCGCAAACGATCTCCAGGGGAGAGGAAGCTCACGGTAGCTCCCTGAACACCGCGAAGAGTCTTTAGTTTTTGTTTTTTTTTTTAAAGAGAGAAAAATAAACCGATCGTTGGCTTGGCTTTTGTTTTGCTTTTGTTACATGGGAGTTCGGAACGAACCGAGGGGTACACTGCAGCCGTCGAGCGTGTTGGCAGTTGAGTTTTTAATCTTCGTTCACCCCTCCCCGTCAATGACCTGCAGGGGTGACTTGTCCCTAATAGACATTGTGTGATGGCCGTGTCATTTGTCCTGACGTTGTGACGTTGTGACGTTCGCCAGGGCTGTGACGTGGGACTTCCGCTGCGGTGACGTCGCCCACCCCCCGCCTGTATGAGTCCGTCGTCAACCCGTTTTCAAACGCCCTGCTTCCAACACGCGAAAAGGGTGATCGTGACTGAGACATACTCGTGAAAAAACAGCCCGAAAAAGGGTTTAAGAATGAATAAATGAAGGGTTCAGCTAAGGGTTCAAAGACATAGTGGACCGAGCTGCTGAGGTAAATGACTGTACCAGACCAGGCAAACGGAACCTGCAGCCCCCTCAATAGTAATTTCCTGCACCGCAGAATGCACGTTTCGTCTTATTTTGTGAAGTAAATGGGAGGTTTCACAAGTTTCACTGTGTACATTTTACTTCCCTTATGGTGTGAAATGCACTCATCAGTGTGGAATCTTTCTGACCCCAAACTCCCCCCAAAACGCTCCCCTGAGAACAAGCACTTCTTTGCTCAAAGACTTGTTTTGGTTTGTGGAACCCTGCCCAAACTGTTGAAGCTGATACCCTGGCTTCTTTTAAGAAACGGCTGCCTGAGATTCTTCAGTGGGGACAGGAAGCACTACTGTACACAGAGGGGGGTGGGGGTGTGGAACAAGCTGCCCAGCCACGTTGTCGAAGCCGATACCCTGGCTTCTCTCCAGGCACCGCTGGGTGGTCAGTCAGCTTCTAACTACAAACGGCCTCCTCTCCTTTGTCCCTGTGTGTTTTTCAGAGGCGTGCAGGACTGTGTTGGCAAGGTTTGGCTTGATAACAAGGCTTAAAGAAAGACACGAGGACAGAGAGCTGGGGTACGAGACGGTCGCCTTTTTATTTGTGTTCACAGCTTTGACTTCTTCCAGCGTATTTCACACGTGGCCGTGTGAGGGGGTGAGAGCCGGGTGGGGGGGACAGAGAGAGAAAGGGAGGGGAGGGGGTTGAAGAGGAAGGAAGGGTGGGCGGTCGTGTGCTGACAGTAGTGTTGATCTCTTTTCTTGGTTTGTTTTTTTTTTTCCCTGCAGACAAACACTTTGATATAAAAAAAGAAATAAATAGAACGCGCGTGTCTGTTGGCGCCACCCCCCGGTACCCGCACCCCTCCCCTCCCCACGCCCGGTTCCGGTCCGATCGGATCGGGGCCCGGCCCGGCTGGGGGAAGGTCAGGGCGGAAGAGGGGCGGCGATGACAGGTGGTGAGGTGGGAGATCGGTGGACGGGAGAGGGGAAGAGGAGGAGGCAGAGCGTTGGTCGGAGGAGAGGGGGGGTGTCAGCTTATGCCTCAGCCACTAGGGCGGCGAACTCTGAAAAGAGAGAGAGAGGCTGTGAGGCCCGAGAGTGAGGCAGAGGGAGAAAGACAGAGGCCCGTGGGGGCGAGATGGGTGATTAAGTGGCAGTTCTGGCGGGCTGCTTCCTTCTGTTCTCCGGGCAGCCGTGGCCTTCAGCCGGTAACTGGTTTTCCGGTAAACGACAGCTGAACGGACTTCGTGCGGAGCCGGAGGCAGGCAGGCAGCGCGCGTTGGAAGTTCCGGCTGAGCCGGGCCCAGCCGGCGGGCTCGGTCAGGGGCGCCGGGCGAGCGAGGGGCGCAGCGGAAGGGGGAGACTCACCGTCAATTCCAATTTTGCCATCACCATCCTTGTCTCCGGCTACCAGGAATGCTTTGGTTTCTTTGTCGGAGAGATCCCTGCCATCTTTGGAGAAGCCCTTCAGCACAAATCTGAGGGAGAGAACGGGGAGGAAGACGTTACCATGGACAGCCCAGGGGAGGAAGATGTTAGCATAGACGCACTGCTGCAGTAACCCAGAGCCTTCAGAGCCTGACGA